GAAGATATGAAGCTTCAAATCCTTTTTGTAAAATTTAATATTAAAATACTGATTCCCGCCTCGACCAGATATTTTTCTCGAGAGAATTTATCTGGTTGAAGCTGGAATGATTCCTGTTAGGAATCACACGTTAAAAGGTGAGACCTCGTTAGTCCTTAGCTCGCACAAGTTTCTCAACTTCTGAGAGTTTTCGTTCGTATCGGGGCGACAGCTGATTAACGGAAAAACAGATTTTANAAATCACACAATAAAGTGTTTTTAAAATACGATATTATTTCCATTTTTACTTGCACGAAAGCATTCATTTCAAAGTATAAACTACATAATATTTATTTTTCAAAGGAAAAACACAAGCACTACAGGGAAATACTTCAGGAACTCTAAGAGCGGTGCCTGTGCGAAAATAGTGATTCACATTGAATTTGAATCGCTGTAGATTAAATCCATTTGGAACGTTCTCAGGGAGGTCGTTCCACATAAACACGGTTCTCCAAATGAAAGAGTGTTTGAACAGTGAAGTTCGAGGTGTGCTGAGTTGGACCTCAAAACGATGAGCAGCCACAGTCCTTCGCGTATTTCTGATATGTACCGCTCTTTTGGTGGAATCAAATGTGCCAAGTCACTCGAACACTTCCCCTGAAATTATCTATAGAAGAGAGACAAATCTCCAACCTTTCTTCGATGTTCCAGACCATCAATGTTTCACGTGATGTTCGCGTCTCCAATCAGGTGAATCGCTCTTTTCTAGATGGAATCCAGCAACTTTAGGATATGTTTGGGGGCAGACCTCCATACATGAGAACAATACTCCAAAGAAGGTTTGATCTAAGCTTTATGAAGCATCAAAAGTTGCTGAGGTGTGCACAGTTTTCTGGTTTGGAACAGTGTTTCAAGCTTTTGAAAAGCAATTCCAGGGACATCAAGTTAAGAGAAACCAAGTCATGCTCACAAAAAAGTAACTTTCAGACGCAAAGTGGAAAAAAAACCTTTCGTAGAAAGTAAAAAACCAAAACTTTTTGCTCCCACAAAATAATATGTCCTTTCAATTGAAACAGTCATAGTATTTTGACAAGTCAGAAAATGATGTTGGACCTCTGGTATTTCGTATAGGTTCCTTCCTTCAATACTGAATATGATAAGGTATAGTGGCAAATTTTTTCCTCCACAAAAAATGACTTTCGTTGAATAATCTTGAGTAATTTAACAGCATACGAATTTCTGTTTGAAAGAAACATTGAACCTTCAAATATAGCAAGATATTCCAGAGTTACATTTTGTTATTAAGAAATGTTGAAATGAGGAGGGTTTACTTGATTTTTCATAAGTTTCAACATAACGAGTGATTTTTCAAGAGGTATAGGATTTGATTTTCAAAACAACACAAAAAATTTGAAAAAATTGATGAAATCTTCATTGGAATCGATAGAACGATCAATATAATTCATTGTTTGAAGATGATTTCATGCAAATGTTGTCCGCGGCTCCGTTTTAGATGGCCCATGCCCAAGGTCCAATTTTGGCACACTCTCTCTAACATATCGACCGGTATTTCACGTATAACTGCTTCAATATTGACTTCCAGAGCGTCAGTCGTTGCTGGTTTATCCCTGTTGACATGAGCCTTAACATGACTCCACAAGAAATCATCCAAAGGCAGATTTGAAACAGAATTGGATGATTGTTTCGCGTGCCGTGTGGCATGTGGCACCGTCTTGTTGAAACCACAATTTTCCTTGTTAACGTATCCATTCAACCAGAAATGAGCCTCGTCGCTGAACACAATTTGGATCTTCCTCCAACTTTGCCAGCGCCCATTCACCAAATGTTAGACGTTGTGTGGTTTCAATTCTTGCACCAGCTGTATCTTATAAGGTTTTACACCCAAATCCTTTCGCAAAATTTTCCACGTAGTGGAGTAACAGAGGCCCGATTGATGCGAACGGCGGCGAATCAACATTTCACGGTCATCACGAACACTGGCGGATACAGCCGCAATATTTTCTTCGGTCCTCACTCTACGTATGCGTGTTGATGGTTCAATATCCAATAATATAAAGTGGGTTCGAAATTTAAACACAAGTTTCCGAATAGCTCTCTCAGTAGGCCGACGAAACTGCCCATAAATTGGAAG